ATACTACCACACTATATGGGTATCTGTACACGCATGTGTTTATAATAGTGTTGCGGCACTGCGCCTTCGCGCTGAGACACCCGTTGCTTCGCTCGTGAGTAGCTTCAAGCCGAAGCGCGTTCCCTGACGACGGGATGTATTGATCGACGAATCAATTGTCAACTGTCAGATTTTGTCTGGAGTTGCTGGACTGTTCGAACGTGTGTCCGCACTCTTCTGTATCGAGATAATAAACATTGAGATTGTTTGTTTCCTTAAAACCGCGGTGTTTCTTTTATTCCCGCGAGCTTCGGGAGTGCGAGTGCGTGAGTGCGAGCGAGTGCTAGTGCGACGCGGTGAGCGCAACAATATAAAAATATATTGTTTATGATGTTTATGATAAATGATATGGGCTGTGAATGTTCCAAATATTCATATAGTGTGGTAATATTACTGTTCTTGCCTTTCGGGACGCGTCCTTTGAATAGACGACAATACGAGAGAGGCATTAGACGGAAGGAATTCGATGACAGACCAAAGAGTAAGGGCAAACGATTCGTGAAATGAAAATGTCTTCCACTGGAGTGCATAATATAATATAGCTTACTTTTTTTTTTAATCGAGCGGTATTCCTGCGATATACCCGTAAATTCAGCTTTGTTTTCTGTGTTTATGCACTATATTAAACTTTTTTTTTTAAATCGAGTGGTATTCCTGCGATGTACCCGTAAATTCAGCTTCGTTTTGTGTGTTTATGCAATATGTTAAACTTTTTTTTAAATCGAGCGGTTTCCTGGGTTATACCCGTAAATTCAACTTTGTTTTGTGTGTTTATGCAATACATTAAACTGTATTTTTAAATCGAGCGGTATTCCTGCGATATACCCGTAAATTCAGCTTCGTTTTGTGTGTTTATGCAATATATTAAACTTTTTTTTTTAATTGAACGGTATTCCTGCGATATACCCGTAAATTCAGCTTTGTTCTGTGTGTGTATGCAATTTATTAAACTGTATTTTTAAATCGAGCGGTATTCCTGCGATATACTCGTAAATTCAGCTTCGTTTTGTGTGTTCATGCAATATATTAAACTGTATACTCCGTCGAAACCAGTGGATAACTCTTATTTTATTTACATAATATATATTTACTTATCGGCGCAACGTTATATTTGTATAATGTGTTACCGCAGTTATTGTATTTAGTCATAGTATTTTGGACATTGCGTGAGCAGCGAATACACTCCGGTACATGGGTATACTTGTCGTAAGAGTGATAAAGTTTAAAGGACGGCTATCAGTATAAGTGCAGTATTAAAATTGGCGTATCGAACGGGAAGCTTGCGATTGTAAGACGATTTCATGTTTGGCGTGATAGGGAATTTTTACGGGGTTTAATAATTAACGGGCAGATTATCTTCGCTAAGAAAAAAAATAAATAAAGGAAAGAAAAAAGGAAAGAAATGTAGCAACTGGCTGTGGCGCGAGTTTCTCTTACAATTGCAAAGTGAACGAAGACGACGCATTGTGTAAATCGCTCGTTTCGATTATGCAACGGTCGCCCAGCTCGCTGTTTATAATCGATGGTTTAAATTGTGTATAAAGAGAGGAAGATTTTGTATAAGGACGGAAGAGATCCGCTAATTTTATAAATAAATATACACACGTCGCAAAAGCTGTTGTGTTAATGTCGCGGGCATTCGCTTTCCTTTCATTACGTAACCGATTCCTTCCTACAAACGCGGAAAGAGACATAAAAGAGATAAAATTCGAATTCCATCGCCAATATCAATTATTTCGTTCAATAAATTCCTCTTTTGAATTAATAGACGGCTATAAGAGTCAGGCGCGGTACGTCGTGCGCAAGTACAGGAATTAATAGTTACAGAGTAACAAATTAAAATGTATATAATATACATATACATATATTCCAAACTAATAAACTGCGCGCCGATTATTTGTCGGACTTGAAACACAGCTATCGTTGAACAATTAATACCCTTTCCTCCCCGGAATTAAATCGACGCGATTCCTTTCTTTTGTATTTATTACATGATTATTTCCTTTTTTTAATATTAATACGTTCGATATTTACTGTATCGATACGCTACGGTCGATATTTTTGGTGTATCGATACTTTGTTCTACGATACGTATCGATACGACATATCGATACTTTCTTATCGATATCCCTTCCCTAAATGTGATAGAACAATTATTATTACTGGCGGTCTAACACAAATACAGCGACACAGAATCCAAAATGCACAAAGAAAAATCTAAAAAAAGTGACATGGCGAACAAATCGAACGAAGATTTGAATACGCAAAATAACCAAGCACTTAATATTTAATAAGAAAAAAAAAAACTTGCAAAGATACGAGTAGCCGCATACATCGCTGAACACAATCTTCCTTTTCAAGAGTCAGAAGGGCCTGTCAAACTTTGTCAAGACATAGGAAAAGATCCTAAGGTCTTTAGAAGCTTAAATGTAGGTCGAACGAAATGTACAAATATCATCAAAAATGTTTTGTGTCCGGTTGCGACAGATCATGTATCTATAAATAACGTAAAAAATTCAAAATTTTTTATTTTTATCGATGAAACATCTGATATAACGAATGAAAAATGGATGACATTTTTTGTTCGATAAGATTCCGAAACTTTTTAGACATTCGTTCGCAATTAATAAAGTTAATTAATATTGATGCTAAAGATAGTAGTGCAGAAAAATTATTTAAGGGAACTAGGCAGTCAGAAAATCGATTTTTTTATTGCATTTTTCGAAAGTACTATCCTTTCCGAGTAAAATGCCGTTTGGTTCGTGTTAAAATTCGCAAAATTTAGGATTTGACAGCCAAAAAGGTCGAGCGCTAGCGTGCGCGGCGAACAAAACTTTAAACGCGTTTTTCTCGAAATCTTTTTTTCTCTTCGTTTTGCAGTGTTTGAAACGCGATGAGATATTGAGGAAAGAAGGGTGGATGTTGCCATCTATGGCATTTCATAAAAAGTACTAGCGATTTTGTAAACTCACTTCCGTTGGCGAATCTAGTTCCCTAGAAAATTTGTATAGCGTAAAGCGCTAGAGGCGCGACGTATCGATATTCAATTCATGTGATTGCCGCGTGAAGAAGAAAGCGCGCGTGTATGTACAAGCTTGCGGTCCGGGCAACCGGCGTTATTCGTTTCTTGTTTGTCATTCAGTCAAGACATGTTTCTGGCCTTTTGCCGTATATTTTGAATACGTAGTGAAATTGTAATACGAATCTCTCTGAATTGCGAATTGTGATACTCTTTGGAAAAGAAGAAGTACGAGAGGATCTGAGGGACTGTAATTGGCACACGGCAGGATCAGGGCTCGATATCATTCTCAGACGTATGAGAGATCAACGCCATTACTCCGTTTCTTGATGATGACGGCATAAGATCGACGCCATTACTTCGTTTCTTGATGATGACGACACATTCTGGAGAGACCAAGGGAGCGACTATTATGGACATAGTCCGTTCGGATCTTTTCTAGAAGTGCATTCAAATACGGTAGACACCATGATACAGGTAACTCTTAGATTTCTGAATAAGAATCATTGATCCTCATAAACAGTATTGGTTACGATCATTGATTTCAGAAATCTTGAGAGATCTACCGTCCAGTAAAGGACGTTTAAAAGGCTTCCGCGCTCCAGCGAAGCATTTATTGACCGGAACGATAATCGTTCTTTTCACTTGAGTACTCAAGATATTTATTTACGGGTTGCAACCATTTTTTGACTGTTCATTCGTGCTATTTCATTTTGGCCAAGTAAAGTAAATTATGCAAGCTTGCGATGCGTTTGATTCTATCTTTTGTGATAGTTAATTTCACATATTTCTCGATACATATTTGCGAAGAGATTCATTTGTTTAATCAATACGAATTATAATGCGTCAAATGTTTAAGATAAGATGTATATTGCTTCAATTGTTTTGAAAGAGATTCGTCAACGAATTTAATGCTCATTTATTCAGAAATTATAATCAAAGATTTAACACACAATACATCGATTTATGTGAAATACTCTTCGTTGCGTTTTCACTAATTGATGTTGAATTAATGCGTTTAATAAAGATTACTATTCAACGCATTATTCATTTATAATTGTATGTGAATGATTATTTGGTTAATTATTAATTATGATATCATTTTTTTGTCATGTCTAATAGTCTTTTCAGTGTCTAATAGTCTTTCAGTCTTTAAATAATTTAAAGATACATTCAAAGCTATCATATCATATTAATTCTTTCTTTATAATTACCTTGTAATATATGATTATTTTACGTTTCAAGTTACAAATTAAGATCATAAATTCAACTAATGTTTATATTCCTTTCATTGAACGGACTATTACAATGTAAATTATATATTGTTTCTTGATTAATGTGATTATTGAATTTTGCCATGGTATATGAATATGATTGAAAATTATCCTATATTTTCTAAATATATTTTACTTTGTCAACATTTAAAACTCGGTGTTTCCTTCACCGCCATAGCCCACGATCTATACGGGTTGTGTACATGCAGTAATTGCAAAAAGACGGAAGTTCAAATCGATTTAAAAAAAATTGAGCATATGTAAAACATGTCTAGTTAAGGTCTGAACCTACGCATAAGTCTGTAAAAACTTCTGTTTTGACAAAATAAATAAATAAAATAAAATAGCTCCTTCTTTTCAATGAAAAATCACGTTTTTTTACATTTGCAGTTGCCATTTCTTTAATTTTGATTTTTTTTTTTTAAATAGGTTCAGTGCAGAATGGGGTCCTATAGAATGCCAAATTTTCCAGAAAAAATGTACAATTCAATTTTTTATGGCCAGGATCACTGCAAAACCACAACGGCACCAGAAAAACCGCCTATGTATCAGAAAACTGTACCGCCGTCATATATATAGGGATGACAATACCTGGATGACTTGAGAATGTTATTAAGAAATCGGCCATGATTGGAATCCGAAATTTTCTTCTAGACGTATCCATCTCTATCTGCTCCGTAATTTCTGTGTCGACACCAGGGTCTACTCCGTTTCCTCCGCATGCTGATATCAAAAATACTTTTGGCTTTCCTGCCATCGTTGGACAGTTATCTGCCGTAAAAAACTTCCACACGGTACTAGCTTCGTACGTGGTGTCGAATGCGAAAAGTTCTCCGAAATTTCCATGCGACAAAACAATAATTATAATGCAGTCACTCTCCGAATGATCTGTTAAGGCAGCTGTAAAAGTAATAATTTCCTTATTATTTCCGTTACATATATTACAGTTATATTTATGATAAGGTGCATCTTACCTTTTCGTAACTTGTTTTTTATTTGTTCGAGTGTATAATTTTCA